ACCATCAGTGTGAGGCATTTTGTTCTCATGACTTGAAACGTAAAGGCCATTTTAGCCTCTGCAAATGAAAAAGGAGGATATTTCAATCTGGAATTGTTTAAGGGGGCATTAATTTGATATCTTCTCTAACAGTTGAATGCTAACACTGTTCCATATTACCTTAAAGCAGGGTTAGGTTATAAAACAAATTGAAAACTTAACCTTTTGGCCAACATGCTAAAGTCATTAAATACTTACATGGTATTTCATGTATTTACTGTATGTTAGGAATCAAGTAGGTGTGGGTTGTATTTTAGTGTGTTTTCCCTCCACCACCAGGTGGTGCCTGGTTCTCGTTGGCCCTGTCACACACTTGCAGATGGTTGCCTCATTACCGTAGGACTCTTAAGCTGCTGACTGCCACTACCTCGATGCCAGAGTGTTTGCCAGTTTTGGGTACTCTAGCCAAGCTGAGTTTTGCTGAGTCAAACTGAGTTTTTGTCAACCTGAGTCTTAACCTTGTTGTTTTTGTCTTTGCCTCTCTGCAGGAAGTCATCCTGCATACTGGGTGTTTTGGACCTTCTCCCCCTGGAAGGATCGTCTCAGCTTCAAAATAAGCTAGGGATTCAAACTGGAGGTTTGGATCTACTTTTCCCCAAAAGATTGTTTGAGCTTCACACTGAGCAGGGGATTCATCTCCACAAGAAACCGTTAGGTTTCCATAGGAAAGTACCATAGGAAAGTACCATAGGGAATCTAAGTGGCAGTCAGCTCCTCCGTTCCTCAAGGGAACACCTCAACCTGGGTAAACCCTGTCCGCCCTACAACGAGCAAGTCAATTACTGGAACTACTGGAACTTAATTGGTTCATATCAAAGACTTTTGATATGAACCAATTAAAATCTACTAAAAAGTCAATGATAAATATGCTATATATCTACCTAATTTAACATAATCCTTAACATCTATAAATCAGAAACTTCAAAACTAAAAATATATCACCAGTTTACATTCCAACACTGCTGTTGGAGCTAAGATATCCGAAAGATTAACCTGTGAATAAATTATTCAGATTTGCATTGTTGTAAATTGATCATCTAAATCGATAAATCTATATAGATTTATGTATTTTTACATAACTAGAAAACCATGGGAATGTAACAATAAATCAAGCCATATCTTTATACGTTGATTAAATGATCAAAGTATGTCACTGTATAGGAATTTTAGTTTACACAAATGCCATCGGAGGACGAATGAGGGGAAGATGGAGCAGGAAATGGACAGGCGGATTGGTGTGGTGAAGAGAGAGCTGAGCCAAAAAGCAAAGCTCTCGATTTAGAGGTCAATCTACGTTCCTACCCTCATCTATGGTCATGAGCTTTAGGTCATGACCGAAAGCACGTGATCCAGGATACAAGTGGCTGAAATGAGTTTTCTCCTTAGTGTGTCTGGACTCTCCCTTAGAGATAGGGTGAGGAGCTCAGTCATCCGGGAGGACTCAAGAGTAGAGCCGCTGCTCCTCCACATCGAGAGGAGCCAATTTAGGTGGCTCGGGCATTTGATTAGGATGCCTCCACAGTCACATCTGTTTATATAATGTGGCTGTGAATTAAAACCAACTAAACATTACTATAACTCAAACTGATCAGTTCCCCATCAAAAATCAAGTAGATTTAAATTATTAAAAGAAAAAATATATATTTCTGTGGTTTTCCAGCATTTTATTGTCAAACTTAACAGGCACAGGGAAACAAAATTTACTCTACATTTAACCCATCTCCATGGGGAGCAGTAGGCTGCCATTGTGCGGCGCCTGGGGAGCCCTGTGGGAGTTAAGGGTCTTGCTCAGGGACCAAGAGTGGCAGACCATGGGACTGGAGCTTGAACTCAAAAACATCCCTAAATCTATGTTTCTAGAACCCAGGGAGGGTTTGCTGCAGCGGGACTTGTTTCCTAACGTCAGTCTTGGCAGGACTCGGACCCAGAACTTCCACAACCAGCATCTTCAGGTCAGGGAGATTTTATACTCTTCTTTGAATATATTAGAATGCTGAACTTTGGTCTGTTTTATTCCTTTTTTTTTATTTAATACTTTAGTCTCCCCTTTAGACTCAGTGTGAAAGAGAATTTGTGACACAGCAAAGATATCTTTCATTTAGAGCAGCCAGAATTTTTCTTAAAATACTCCTTAATGATGAAAACACACAGACTGGTTTCTAATTCCTATCTCCTTTGAGCTTCAACCAGCTTCTTCATGGTCTCTTACATTTGTTCTGGGGTACATTTGCAGATTTCCCACAAAAACAAGCTTATCCATAATAAAACAAATATTTCAATAGTTTGGCATTTGGCGAATCAAAACTATTTAATCAGTCCTAAATGAGTTTTACCAGAAAAAAATCTTAATGTAACATGATGGGAAAGGTTGCTGGTAAATCTTTTATAGTGCATGTATATATTTGGTCCTTAACTGATCCCAGGATTAAAGTTGCCTTAAAATTGAATAATACCACTGTTTGAGTCACAGAAGCCATCTTTAGACTGATGAGTTAGCCTGTAGCCCATCAATATAATCTTAAATTCTTATCACACTTGATTAATGTTATGAAGAGCCATAAAAAAAGCACATTGATAAGATGAAAAGAAAGTGACTGATAGTTTTAAACATGTTTCTTTAAAGCTCATTTAATAAGTACACTGTGCATTTGCATTTGTAAATGTAAAGTTTGTGCACCACCTTTTAAGAAATACAAATTTTGAGGTTGGCTTACAGCAGCATTGCACATCTCCACCTTATATATTTGTTACTGTGTAGATGTTTTCAGGGTGATGAGTTGTCTTCGCTCTACCATTCATCAACGTTGGGCTCAGACCACCTTCATTTGCTGCACCTCCAGAGCTTGAGGCAAAAAAACAAAAGGGACTTGTTTTGTTTTTATACAACTATGGTTTTCTTCTTGCTACTTTTCACTAGGGGTTAGATTTGTAGAGTGAACAACTGGAGAGACAGTCAATACAGGACCTACATACACAAATAGGCTTCTATTTTTAACCTCTTAATATCCACCTCATTTCTGGGAAATTCGCCTATTTTGCATAACCAAATGGAAAAGCAAATAACTGAGGAACTGTAAGCCCAAATTACATGTGTGGCATGTTATTTGAAAGCTAACACCATCTAGTTTATGAATATATACATGGAAATTGGGTGAGTAAAACACCCAATAAGCTGCATCAAGCCCAAGCTGCATCACATGCTTGCTTGTTGTGGTTGCTTTGTCATGCTACATTTCGACATTCTGTTATAATTATGTTTTGGTGCTCGCCATGTCCATAAAATGAACTAGGTGGTTGAATTGTGGATAATCTCAGCTTTCCAACGATGTCTATATGGGTAAACATTTTACCAGAGTAATTTTAATGCATTCTGAGTTATTATTTGTAAACGTTTGAGGTTAATGCAAATAACCCAAAGCCATCTAGTCTGTGTTATAAGCCCCAAAACCCATTGCTAACATAGAGCATACATTTTTTTTTATAATTGTCCCGTGAACAGATCCACCTGAACTAACGAGCTCTGCAGCTGCTCCAGAGTTACCACATGCCCGGTTGCCTCTTTGCCTGGCTTGTCAGTTTATCATGCTATTGAACTGAGCGGTCTTTAAGGTTCCCTGGCCTTCATGTTTTGGTTTGTTCTCTATATTACCTTCTCACAACAGCTGAAGTTGCACTGAGAAAATTGCACGCAACTAATCAGGTGAGCTTTGTAGGTAGTTGTTGGTACATTACTTTATTCTGGGGCATCAGGGTTAAAGGAGATTAATACAAATGCACAACTCTTCAAATAATTTGAAAACCATGTATCTTTATTTCTCTATAATTGTGCACAAATGTACGGTTTAAACAAATAGGATGTTCTGTCATTATTAAATTGCCTTTCCCAAAGGCATACTGAACCTTACAGGCTTCCTTCCAGGAATCTGTGCCTGTTGTAACATTGCTCACTGGTAACAAGATATATGACCTCTTTTCTGTGCCCTTCAAAGAGCTCCCCTGAGGCTCCATCAGCAGCAGGGTTGATGAATGTTTACAATTTTAGGCACTGAGAAATAGGACAGGTAGAGTGAACATAAAATCCTACAGAATGAGGCATTTGTCCTCCATCATGTCTGCAGAAGTAGCCATGCAAGTGGCACATCCCGCTCTAAATACAGTTGCATAATGTCAATCTCTTTAATCTCAATCTGCCTTAGTGGACGTTCTGCAAGTGTTAAGAGCTACGGTGATTGTTGTAGAACGCAAAGAGGGAACACGGATTATCAGTGACAAAAGTACGAGATCTGCGATTGGCCGACAGCTTCTGTTGTCATGGTTTTCATCCCTACAGATGGCCGTGGTAGCCGTGGCGATGGCAGCAGGATCAGCTCTGGTGGCATTACAGAGGAGGGGTATGCACAGGGCATCAATCAACACCTCTTCTCTTGGACAAGGTGAGAGACGAAGTGTCGGCGCTGGCTCCGATGGGGGAAAATAAGGTGCTAAGATGATTACTAGAATCAAGACAGACTTGTCATCTACTCATCAAACAAGACTGACAAGATCTATCTAGATGCAAAAACACTTTAGCAGCACAAATCCAGATTTAAAGTTCTGTGTTCAGCATCAGAAATTAGGGTTACAGAGTACAGCGGAGAGAGAGAGAACAGTATAAGCTCCTCTTGTTCCAGAATGACAGTCCCATCTGTCAGCTAACCTCAACTAGAGTTTTCACTCGCAGATCATTTGAGCTTTCCTACCTTTAGAAAAAAGAACTTACCCTTTCTTACATTAGAATGCCATCCAGATATTGGCAACCTGACTCTAGGTGATGCCAACAAAGCTACAAAGATATCTTGATCTCAAAGAAATAGTTAACTAGGGAACTTTGGAACTTAATAAATACTTTCTAGTCCATAAGTAAAACCAGTATCAAGCATCGTATAAAAGGGACCAAAAAAGGCAGAGCAGGGAAGACCTACCTGATAAATAAATCCCTTATTAAGATCCACCGAGATCATCTTGTTCCTAAAAGGTTACAACCGGATGCCCGCTAACTCCCCTTGTGCCTGCAGCAGCAGTTAAAAATGAAAAGCAAAGGCTCAGGGCCCGAGCCTGTATGTTATCTCTGGATGTTTGTGCCTGCTGGACGAAACGTGAGGAAATCTCCCTGTAGCACAAAGTCAGCCTGTCTGTCTGGACGTCTCGGTCAGACCCTCTCCTTCCCTCAGCCGCTCTCATCAGCCACTCTTCACATGCTGGAACGCGGAAGCAGCCCCGCTCCCAAAAGCCCCGCAACATCAGCGATCAGAAAGAAAGTAGCACAGCTCCAGCTCCTGTCTCCGAAGGCTTTCATCCAAGGCAGCATCAAATGTTTCTGACAAGCGTCCATCCGCCAATCCCCCCCAGAGAGATTAGCGCTCTGACATCACCGAAGCTGCACCGTGCTCCGCTCTGCTCTGATGACTCCCTGAGCTATGAGGCTGGGTTGCATTACCCAGGAGAAGTCTTAGGTCACAGGAAGTCGAGAACACCAACCTGCCGGGGGGACTCGCACAAGTCCTGGTACACCTTCCCACATCGAATCACGGCACATCTTGATCACAGGAGGCATTGACTGGCGTATGCTGTAGCTGCTGCAGTCCCACTGATCACTGCATGTGCACATTCGGATGCTTGTGTGTGTATGTGTGTCTGCAGAGCCTACCTAAGGCATATAAGCTGTTCTCTGGCTCTACTGCAATGTCAGCAGAACAGAGATATGGTGCTAAGAAACTATCTAGGAGAAGAAGCTGATTCCTCTTTATGCAGTGAACTGTCTTATATTACATGTCAAGTAAAATCCAACTGTTTCAAAGAACCTAAAACAACTATTTAATCCAGTTGGCTAATAAACAGGAGCCTTGTTTCATTCTATGCTCTCTCCACACCTGGATCGCCTTCCACTCTACTGACACTGTGGTAATCAACCATGGAGGCGAGCAAAGCAGCTTCTTTCTGAAGCAGGGAGCCTTCCTTGTCTGCCTGCCAGTTTTGTTTTAGGGTCAAATCTCCAATTCTGATGGGTTTTCACGGCGATTCGAGAATACAACGCTTAACAGAACAAGCCGAAGCAACGAAAGCACACTTCCTCTGACCGTTCCCACCGATCCGCTGCAAGCCGGACATGCATCCTGTTATGATGACGGCACTGGTCAGGGTGACCCCGCACGCTCTGCTTCAAGCAGCAAGTAGACCGTGTCAAAGAAATGCTGGATAGAGATCGGTAGAGAAATAACAAAAATGTAGCATTAATTAAATCTGTATGTTAAATGAATAAAACTAAGAGTTGATGTAAATCGTGCCAACAGCCTCAACAGTACCCACGTTTACAACAACTCTGAAGAAAAGCAGGCCCTCATTATGATACTACCAACGCCATGCTTCTCAGTTAAGGTGCATATGATGAGGAATGGTGTAAATTTTATAGAGACCTGCATTAAGGACATTTTTTTAGTTTCAGACTCTTAATTTAGTAAATCACAGGGAAAGGGTTGAAAAAAAAAAAAATGAAACATGCTGTAAGGGGGTGCAGGTGGCACAGCGGTTGGTGCGCTAGACTCATGTACGGAGGCCTTAGGTACGGTGGCCCTGAAGTGCAAACTGCAACTATAAATCTAAGCGCAACTACATTAAGGAAATCGCAACTACATAAAGCAAAGCTAAACTACATTAAGGAAAACACAATTACATTAACCTACTGGAAAAGGTAGGTACTAGTGGGAAACATGAGACATCGCTGATTGGACGACGGCGCCGTTTGACCCTTGAACCGGAAGTTGCGTCGTCTGAACAGTCCAGCTTCTTTTAAGTGTGTCTTCAGTGTACGCAAACTAACTGAAACTTCGTGATTAGTCTTGAGCATATCCAGTATCACCTCGTACATATGTCCTGATTCAAAATATTCCTGGATAACAGCAGCTATGTTTGGGGCGCCGACAATATCCATGTTTTCAAAAGCCGCAGCAGGCAGAATGACTTCCGGTTCAAGGGTCAAACGGCGCCGTTGTCCAATCAGCGATGTCTCATGTTTCCCACTGGTACCTACCTTTTCCGGTAGGTTAATGTAATTGTGTTTTTCTTAATGTAGTTACGCTTTTAGATTTGTTGTTGGAGTTTGCACTTCAGGGCCACCGTACTTAGGTCCTCGACGCAGGCGACCCGGGTTCGAATCCGTCCTTTGCCACATGTCTCTCCCCCTCTCTCATTCCCCCTCTCCTGTCAACCAACTCTCGAAAGCCTCAAAAACTAAAAAAAAAAAAAAAAGAAACATGCTGTGAAGAAACTTCATCACAAACTTCCACTTCGAACTAAAGCACTACCTTCTGCTGGCATCTTTTCATAGATGCCAAGACAAATGGCTAATTTTAAAAAGTAAATGAGATGTGAGTAAAGTGCTGTAAAAAGCATTTCTAAGTCTTAGCCAGTTAACGGCATCTCCTTAAGATGGGAAACAAAGAGCTACTGCATAACTCCAAAGGTTAAAGGTCAGCTTTTCAGTCCAAACAATTACATATTTGGAAGCAAATTCATTATACTACAGAAATAATGCATCTGGGAACAAATCCAAGGCTGGAGAGTGAGTAATATGTTACAGCTGCTACAAGATGCTAGACTGCATATATCTATTAGAGCACTAAATGGTGAATAACTTCATTTTTTATGAGCATAAAATGATAGTGATACTCTTCTGTTCTACTTAAATGGTGAGATTTAAAGGAATCAGGCCCAGTTGAAGCCCAATACATGATCTTCACAAAAAGATTCCTTTTCCCACCATCATGAAATTAGATTAAACATTTCCTGTTTGGGTCAGTTTGGCTTCTAAAATTAGTTCCATTTACTAAATGCCCAAAAACTGATGAGTATCTCATACAAAGGTTTCATGTATTTATAAAACAGTTCAGTTTAATTTTGTTCTTATTAGTGAATTCCATTAAAGGTTTAAACATGTGTTTGTGTTGATTCTTAGATAAAAACTGTAAGAACATTTTATTTCTCCTCTGGGCTCTTTGTTCAAACCAGAATAGCCCAAATGGGCAAAATTTCAAAAGCTGAATTTTGGTCTTTTATTCGTGTAATTTGTGGAGGGATGCTTTGTTAACAATCAGACTCACCTGCAGGTAGTAAGTGTTACGTTCACACCGCACGCGATCTCAGCAGCAAAAAAATGCGTGCAGCTTCATTTTTGATGCTTGTCCACATTAAGGTCACATGAGCCTCAAGAGCACCTTTGACGCTGCTGCAGCGCGTCGTGTAAAATGTGTCCAGGTGCATCTGATGCTTCTGCTGCTCCTGTGTTCAATCGCAGAGAGCAGCTTTGCTATATCTGCTGCGATAAGTGGGTTTTTAGGGGGTAGATGTTAACGTTTTTCCAGGTATGTGGTACAAAACCGCAGGCATTAATAAACTGTTTCAGTGGAGTGATTATAGCGTTCTGAATCAGCAGTGCTGTGTCTGTCTCCCTGCTAGATCCCAGATCAGCTTCTCTGATTGGTTGATGTGGTGCGTCGAGCAGCAAAAGTAAAATTTTTCCATCTACAGCATGTCAGAAGCTCATAGGCGCTGCTTTAGCTGCTAAAGACGCACACCAGGGCCTTTTGATACGCCTTGATGTGAGTCAAGCTTTGACTCTTCATGTAAAGCGGCTCCTTAGCTGCTCAAAGCACGCGCAGTGTGAACATAGCATAATGGTTTAAGCAGACATCCCAAGTTCCAAAAACTAATTTCAAGTAGTGACAGATAGGCACAGGTTTCACAAGCAACCTCCTCCCCACACCCCCTTTCTCTTGTTGTGCCTGTGCAATCGAAGTAGTTCTAATACGCACATTTTGCACGAACTATTTTATTGCCTGCACGCTCACTCGCATTAAAAAAACACCACCTGGCATAGTCTAAAATTCGGGATAATTTATCCGACTCATTTATCTATATCAGGGAGACTCCCGGAAATTCCGGGAGACTTGGGATGTCTGGTGCAAGCAACAGGACATCCATATGAACTAGCAGACACACAATCTAAATTCCCATGCAAAAAAGACAAAAGAGCAGTATTATAAAAAGTCTAAATTAATTGATTTTACTTAAACCAATTAAAAATGAACTTTAATAGAATGTCAGCAGGATTTTATATCTAAAACAATCCGTAAAGTCCAATTTCCAATAATTTCATAACTCATACAATTTCGGAAATGTGTATTTTTAATCATATTTTGACCTTGACCACACTATCAGCTCTGCAGAACTCCTAATAGTTCCAACAGGAGGATTTATCCCGTGGTTGATGACTGCAGGTTCATGCTCTGTACTGTGGGTCTGACTCAGACCCAACAGGTCTAAAGGGTTATTTGACTAGAGTTGAGGAAATAAAATAGAGCCATTCTCCAGGACTGGCTGTGAGGCTTTCTTCTACTCTCACCCTGGGAGCTTCTTAAAGCATTAATGTGCTAAAAGCTTAAACTCCACTTAATTCCTCTTATTGAATGAAGCCAGCCTGCTGTGGATCCCAGATGCATTGTGGCATGTACGACCACTGGGATTTGATAATACAGGTGTGCTAAGCAAGCTGGCTAACAACGGTTAACAAGCAAACGATTGACAGACCACCATTAAGACAGTGCCAAAATACTTTATGCTATGGTTTTCTTTTTTTAAAATGAACTTTAAACAAATAAAAATATGTCTTGCATCACTGTATACTATGTATACCATATTAGCACATAGTAACTATATATTTTGGGGGAGTGGCAGCCTAATGGTTAGGGCATTGCACTTGGATCCCAGAGGCTCCCCAAGCAGAGGAGCAGTGTGGTGGCAGGGGGATCCCTTGGGCCTGCATTGGAGCCGAAGTACCAAAGCTCATCAAACTGCAGTTTTCATGCAGTTTCACTGCAGTTCATTGTCCCATTGCGTTCATGTTATGATGTGGACCCAAGGGACATGAACTCAGCAGTAAGGCATAATACAGCAATAAATCTACAACAGAAAAAAAAAGAAAAAAGAAAAAGAGAATGGCCTAGTCAAAGTATAGACTTGTGCTTGATCATAATGCGGTAGTGGGACAACCAGAGTGCTGTGAAACCTCAAATAACAGCAGTAGTCTGTTCTAAATGTGGACAAAAATTCCCCCAAACTGATGCAGGCATACAGGGATTTCTGCTGCTATTATGTAAATTATCCATTTATTACAGAAATACATCAAATCCCTCTAAGTACTTGGTGTATAATGAAGCAAATAAACAGAGTCTACTCACCACATCCTTACTTTCTTGAGAACTTTGTTCCTGAAAGTCAAAGAAAAATGAGACCAGTTAGGAGTCGTCTAGTGGATGTATATTATTTCAAAGCATCTAAACCTCCTGATATGATTCTTTTAATGATGACGCCACAAATCCCATCCCCCCCCCCACCAGGATGTTATGCAACAAACCAACAGAGCAGTGGATAATTTGGTGAAGAAGGAAACTTTGGAGGAGCTGCAAAAATGCACAACTCCGGTAGGACATGTGGAACACGATAACTATTAGGGATGCGATCCTCAAGGGAAGAGCGGCAGGAGGAGGAGCCATGTGA